AGTCTGTGGGCCGGGGGTTCCCGGGCCATATACTCCATCACAATTAAAAAAGACAACAGAGCACCATGGAGTCGATACAACGCACTCGCTCCAGAGCTTCCATCAAAGGGAGATGTCGATAGATCCAAAGGCGGTGCCGGTCATCGATAGCGCTCTCTGGTGCGAAGGGTATATTCCCTGCAAAGATTGAGAGATGATGTGGAGGAGGTTGAGCGCGATATCCGATGGAGAAGGGTTAATTGGATTTCTAATTGCCGATGGAGGCGGATTGACAACCTTCAATATCGCCGCCGGAAATCACCACCCATACCTGGAGTTATTGAGCCGACGATGAGGATCTAATTTGCATCCAGACACGCTCTCCATTCGCCAATTGCAGAAACGTCAAACAGGAATGTGATAAAGGTGTAGCTACACACTACGTGAAGGCCATCTACGTATATCTTTGTGCGGAAGTTACATGTGTGAAAAGGCCCATTTACATTTCAATGAGATAAAATTACATTCCCCATTAAGGTTGTTAACATTTTGATATGTTTCCAAGTTACATTTGAATTAAGATAATTTACATTTCGTGTTATCTCAGCGAGTTATATTTCAATTAACGTGAATTAGATTTCAAGTTATATGAAGTTACATTTTGATACATGCGATTTACATTCCATATACGAGGTATGAAAAGTGATTCTAAGGAATAAATGAATTACACTCCAACGTACGAGTTACATTTTTCATTATCTCAGATTACATTTCAAGCCACGAAAGTTACTTTTGAATATAAAGGATTTACTTCACAAAAAAAAGTATCACTGTTCATCCGTTTTTTTAAGTTTAACTTAAAATTAAATGGCTTAATTTTAGACAAGGGAGTAAGGCGCTACTATGCACCGCTCCCCTGTATAACAACTCTGAGGTTTGGAGGAGCTGGGCGCTTACAAACTGCAACCGAAAAATTTGGGGTATCAACGTGGCAAACGCTCAATTGAATATGTCTCACAGGAAGCCGCAGAGCTGTACACGTCGATTATTGCTATTCCTACATCGCACGTCCGTGTTACCGGCCGTCATCTTACTACTCCTGTGCTTCACCGCGTGCTCTACTCCATCGGAAAGCAAAATGGTAAGTTTTGCCTCCTCGTGGATTCTGTTCTCAACCGCAAAAACCACATAATCTCTACTTTTGAGTTCCTCCCATTTATGTCGGATTCAATCGTTTGTATGTATTTAAAATTCAAGAGTCTTTCAGTTGCTATGCGATTGTATTAGTCATGGGCCCTCTGGTAACTCCTATTTTTAACAATTTCTGTTCACCAAAAGATTGTAGAATTTATTTGCAAATAGTAGGCGTAGAAACTTAATCAGAATCAGTTTTTCTGAAGTGATCTCCACTGAATTCTAAAAAACTGTTTCTCCCTTAAGAAGTATATCCAAACACCCCTAAAATGACATTCTGGAATTCATTTGGAATTCAGACACAACTAAAGCCAGATTCCAATAGAAAACTAGATTTTTAAATAAATTTTACTTTTGTTCTAAAATGTCTAATTTAGCCTAACTCTTCATTTTGCTAACTCTAGAGCTATCTCTCCGCTTTAAGAACTTATTTACAAATGAATTTCACCGGTTCTATTTATCATTACCTAAAGACTCTAAGTGGTGGATCTCCGACCTAGGGGTAGGCGGATTCCGGGAAAGTAGTGAGGCTGAAAGTGTCAAGTAAGATCGAGTAGAAAATTGAGCAGAGTAAAAACAAATTCTTACGGCCAAAATCGGATCCCTTTCCCCACAAGTTGGAAGGTGATATTTATACTAAAGGAAAAACACTTGGCCAACAAGTAAAAAGTGCTATTTCATTGTGGTGAGGACACATGTCCCACCTGTCTAACAAGAATAAATGTACTAGTCTAATAATGTGGTGACACGTGCAAGGTTGATTGGAGAAATATCTTGAATAACTGGCTGATTGGTATTGTGTGTAACAAAATTGTCCTTTATGTACCAGAACACATGTGTGTTACACGTGTGCCCCCTGGAATATTTCGTGTGATAACTGCCAAGGCGACGTGGCCCTTGGAAAGCTGTTGCGGTGGTGACGTGACAATAGTCCCGTGTCGTACCAAAGTACCACCACCACCAACAACATTACCCTAGTGCCGCAAAGGCTCCCATCTACGGTGGGGTAAGGAGGGTCTGATGTACGTAGCTTTACCCTGTCATAAAGCACATAGAGAGACTATTTCCGGTTGACCCATGATGAAAATCGCGTCGAAAATTACATGGACGGAACATTGCTTCATAACAAAGAAGCGCAAACAGTTTAGGCGAGCCATTTTGCTTTATTTCAGCATATTCCCAAGTCATGAAATAGTGAGTCTTTGGCTCCATTGGAAATGATGGAGCCTTCGTACCAAACAAATTAAATTTGGGGGAAGTTTGGAAGAGCAGATGATCAACCAGCCATTCAATCCTCCGCTGTTATATTTCCATTTCATCCTACGATTTATGGATTTTCCTTATCTAACTTTTGTGAAGCAGGGAAGTACATGTAAAAATGTCTGGAGTATATTATACCAACGTGCTCGGGCTCAGTCCCGGGCCCTTAGTTCTACTAGGTAAGGCTTGGAATGCTTAAAAAGACACTTCTTTGCTGTTTTATCTTTCCTCTTTTTACATAACTTTATCTTGCATCAGGACAGTGGGAAGACGGATCCTAGAAATAAGGGTGAATGTTTGGAGAGGGAAAACAACACTACAGCTTGTGAATGTGGATTTGCATTATTGGACTCTTGCTTCTTTAGTGACAAAAAGGTATTTATTAGTTTCTACAAGATGCATTTGGAACTTTCTCTATTGATGATGGAGCTTTCATTAGTTTCCTATCATGTGATGTGGTTGGATTTGAGGAAAAATAGGATGGGAGAAAAAAATTAATATGTGACGTGTTAGTTTTGGAGTAAATAGATTTATTATGTTGCAATTTACTATTATACTCCATCCATTCTATTAGCGGTTGTGTTTGTATGGCGTGAGTGTCACTACAAAACAAGGAAAAGCTGAAATCAGCAAACCGCACAGACTAATCACACACATCTTGAAGATAAATGGCATAATTCCTTTTTGCTTGATTTCTTTATTTGCAAGTTTGAAGCTAGAAAAGTCACAAGGAACATGCGATTTTTCAATAAAAAAATCCTTCTATTGCTATCTAGATTTGCATCTCTTGTTCTTCACTGGATTCTCCCGCCATAGCTAAGCCTTCGAAATCCCAGTCTTCCCTCCCACTTGCTCGTGACGAGATCTTATATGCAAGCCGCTAGAATCACTATCTTTGTCCCGTCTTTCATTTTTCATCCGTCCTACTAAGTTTTGCCCATGCTTCTACTATATCTTGTAATATTTGTGTCTTCCAAATTCATTAATACTTTATCAATTCAATATAAACCACATATTTGGACCTTCATTAGTATGTGTACCACTTCCTCATGTTCTACATATAATGATTAATGAGAAGGGGATAATACTTATTATGTGAAACTAACCAATACAGAAATACAACCTCCGTCCCCCTAACATTGGGACAAAAGGGAGTGGTGCGGTTATTAAGAAAAATAAAATTGTGTTGTTCATATTAAAATGATAAAGTGTGAATAAAATAATGATGAATTGTAACCACCCAAATATTACCAAATATGATATGAGACAAATTTAGTGGGACGAACGATAAAGGTATAGTGGGACAAAGATGGAGGGGTGGAGGGAGTATCTCATTATGAGTTTAATGAGGATTATTAATTTCAGTTGATGATGAAATGTTTGTTAATTCACAGAAAAATATAAATAGTACTCCCTCCCTCCCTTAAAGCTTGACCAAATTTGACCGCCACACGAAATAATAAAGTTAAAACTATGTGGTTGAGGTTTATGCAGAGGAGATGGAATTAACTGGAACCACAAATTCATGGAAAGTGGCAAAGTTAGTGGGACAGCCAAAAAAAGAAAGTTATTAATTTATGTCCTTCCAAAAATAACAATTCAGATATTAATTCTTTTTCTCTCACAATAAGTGTCACTGAAAACATGACATTTCACCAAAAAAGGATTTTCTTGTGGAACATATTGAGGTATATTCATATCTAATTAACAAGATTTTAAATGTATTGTCACTCAGGAAGAACTTATTTTTCCCACAATGAGTGTCACTTATAAAGCCCCAAAAACCAAATGCTGTTTTTTTCATTTTTTCTTTTAGGGCCTCACTTATTTTGCTCAAAAAACCACGCTTAAGATGAGCAAGATGAAGTATTTGTCAAAAGTTATTTTTTCCCAGCATAAAGATCACATTTTCTTTCCTATTTAGAAAGAGAACTAGAAGGGGAAAATAACATAATTTTCCATTCCTTACTCTTCTATATTTTTCCCAAACAATGGAAAATCATAAGCTTCTACTTCTACTCTCATATACGTAGTTTTTTTTTCTTTCCTCGCATACTTTCCTCATTCTGAACACAGCCCTGTAAGTGTGTGACTGTGATTTAGAGACAATGCAACATTTTTTTTCAGTCTCTTAACAGAGCAAAGTCTTTACAGTGGAGGTTTGAGATTTTTTTAGTTTCATACCTTTTAGATGCTTGAAATTGAAAAGGGTGCAAAGGAATTAAATACTCCTATCATACGAGCCAACCAAAAGTTAGTTGCATCTGTCAATGGAGGGTTGTATAACCCATCTCCTTTGGTTTTCAATGCTGCTTGGAGTGACGAACATTTGAGGCACATGACAACAGGGAGATTTTCTTATCCTTCTCCCTCTGATGTACAAAGGCCGGAAAATGATGAAGATATTGCCTTTATGAGTGTATGTCCCAAACTACCTCATATTTCTTTACTATGGCTTTGTTAGGTTATTATGTAGCTGATATCAGCTAGCTGATTGTGAAACACTGTGGGAGCTCTAATTGGAAAAGGGCAAGATGCAAACATCAAACATCACAAATGCTAGTAGTACTTTTTAGTTTCTTTGGCTCAGCAAGATGATGATTCAAAACTCATTTACCAAACATTTGGTTTAGCTAATTTTACTATTCAAACATTTACAGTTGGTCAAAACAACAAAACATAGCCCCTATAATGATCTTCTCTTCACAGTGTTTCTATTAATTGAGAAATTTGACAGATTCCGGAATTGGGGGAACTCATTAAGACAAAACAAGTTACATCCGTGGAGCTTACTGGTATCTTTTTGAAACGATTAAAGAGGTATTTCCATTTTACATGAACAATAGTCTTATGTAGAATCTCCCCCCCTTCGGTTTGTTGCTTTTTCTGGATTTGGGACTATGACAGGTATGGTCCTGTCTTGGAATCTGTGGTCACACTTACCAAAGAATTAGCATATCAACAAGCTAAAGTGGCAGATCAGCTGCTTGCAAAAGGAGAATATTTGGGTACATAAGTACTTATTTGTTTACTTTTGTTTTCTCTGTGAGGAGGAAAGGTTAGTCTAACATTTTCTGCTGACGTGATTAAGGGTTCTTTACTACACTAATCATGCTAGCAAATAAAAAAGGTTTTCAGATTGTGTTTTCTGGTTCTTTAGCGACTCTCTTGAGGCCTATGAGTATGAAATTCAGTAAATTCTCACCTGCCGCAAACTTAGGGTAAATTGAAAGATGCCAAGGAAAGTAACTAAGAAGGAAATAGATGGGAAATTTGGAAGTGAAAAACAGGTGGGGGATGAAAAGTTGGTTCCAATTGAATTAAGTATATTATATTTTTAATTTATATTTTCTGTATGAGGATTGTAAAATCTTATAAATTTCTAATCATATATGATTTGCGCTCATGTTATCCAAGTTCGGAACTAAACATAAATAAAACAAAGGGTTATGCAAAAAATATTACTAAAAAAAGAGTCATGGACAAAAAAGTGACCTGTTTTTCAGTTTCAAAAAATGATAATAAAAAGGGATTAGGACATGAATATTACTAATAATTAGTAAATGGACCAAAATGTGACCTTTTTATTAAGTTTCCAAAAAAGAGACTAAAAATAGATAAAGAGACTCATTTACCCTTACTAATATAATTTCCTTCTAAAAAACGTTGCCGATGCATCTAGGGAAATACGGAGGCTTTTGACCACCTGTCTTCCTTGGACAAATGCTTCAACCCCATATGCCATGCAAGACAGGAGCATCATCACTCAAGAACATGTGGGCCGCTGCAGACATGGTGCATGAAAATGAATACTACGTATAATTTAACAATGATCAATTCTTCTGTTATCACCACCGTGATGACCACCATTCATAGTGACCACCGTCAATGACCCGGTCATAGTGATCGCCGCTCAAGTGACCACCACTCCATTGACGAATGTCCCATTTACTATGACTCCAGTGATCACCACTCCGTAAGTGACCCAACACCCAGTGATGACCGCCGATCACAATGATCAGTGACCACCGCCCGATGATCACCTCCAAAAACAGTCAGAATAGGTCTTGTTCACACATGCATAAACGGGCTCTGACGGTAGTGATGTCGGGATAGATCGTCGCCTAGTGACCAACATCACAGTGACCATCGCCTAGTGACTTCCGCTAAGTGACAAATTAACACAGTGACTTCCGTCCAGTGACCAATTGACATAGTGACTTTCGCTCAGTGACAAATTAACACAGTGACTTCCGTCCAGTGAACAATTGACTCAGTGACAAAGAACATAGTTACATGCTCGTATGCCCTTCTATTGACAATGTTCACTCATCTAGTGACCCAATGACCAACTTAGTCTGACTAGTTTCTACTATCGCCCCGCTATTGACCGAACCCGACCATTGACCACCCAACCAGTGACCATCGACCAGTGACCAGTAATTAGTGACCTTTTTCAGTTACACATAATTCCTCTTCTAGCGGTGATATCGGTGCCTCACCCTAGTGGCACCCCCGCCAACCACCGCTTTCAAACCATAGCCCCCAACCACAGGAGACAATCACCACACATATCACAATGACACCACCTAACTCCGGCTAGTTATCTCGTCACTCCGGCCGCTGCTGCCGCCGCCCCGGCTCTGGATGCCACCGCTCCCTGTCCTACCAACACGGCACATCCCCCCTAACTTTTATCGGCACCCTTGTCACTGCCCCAACAGCCCCTCCAGCCCCCACCAATGCCCACCACGACCGCACATGCCCTGATGCGGCCAAACCAATCCAACCTCCACACCTTCCCGCCCCACCCTAGCTTAAATAGCTCCATAGAAAAACAGTTCCAGATCTGCTCTAAAATTTGACGAAACACGTTGTTGGATGGTTGAAGTTTCTCGCCAGATTTACAAACCTCGACGCCGCCGCGACCGGAGGATGAAATTTTCGCCGGATCTACGAAGTTTGTCGCCACCACTAAGGGAGTTGGTGCAGCTTGAAGAAGGTGAAGCTCGAGAAGCCGTTAGAATACAGAGGAAACGAAGGCTGACCAGACAACGATGGTTTGCGGACAAGAAGAAAGGAGGAGAGGAGTAGTCATCGCTCTTCATAGGCGCTGCCCCCTTGCTCTTTGTAGCCGTTGTGCTCGCTTGAAGAGTCGATGCATACGAAGGAGGGTTGATCGCCATCTTCGTTACAAAATCTTATCGTCGTATCCATCGGTTGGGAGCAGGGGGCAATTGAGATATTTTACCCTCTCTTTAGTCAGTTGTTTGTCTTAAATGTAACGTGCTCACATGTTTGTCCGCACAAAGCTTCACGGTCAGCTTTTAGTCATTCTTTCTAATAAAAATAGACTAAGAGACCATTATACCCTTATACTAATTTAATCCATTCACTAATGCTACAGTAACACACAATGACCTGTAACGCCACTAGTGACCAAAAACCAGTCAGTGACCACTATCATAGCTGGGCAGTGACCACAGCTGGTCACAGTGACCAAAAACCATCCGGGCAGCACCCGGGCAGTGACCACAGCTGGTCACAGTGACCAACCCCATTGCTGACCACAGTGACATGCGACTCACATGCCGGCCTATGACCACCACCGGCCACCACCGGCTAGTCACATTTACTTCACCGGCAAAGTGACAGTTACCTCACCTTCCAGTGACTTAGGGCCTGTTTACTAACAGAGATATTTTCCAGTTTTCAATTTATGTTTTCCGTTCTACAATTTTCTGTTTTCATTTTCCGGTTTTTCTATCTCCAATTTTCTGTTTTCATTTTTTTGTTTTCCATTTTCAAATCTAAAAACATGTATTATCAAATTTTTTCATCCGGTTCGAGAAGACTAAAAGTATTGTCCCATTCTGAAATCAAACCTAGTTACAACCCAAGTAGGGTACCAAGTCCCACGTATAGGAAAGTCGGGACCGAAACCGGCCGGGCCCGGTTGATCTCAACGGGTCGGTGACCGGACCAGGTAGGAACCGCCGGGTCGTTGACCGAACCAGATGAGGACCACCGAGTCGTTGACCATACTGGATCAGACCATAATCACATACTCACATGGATCGCGGTACGCTTCGGTACGCGGTATGAAAACGGGAACGCGGATCGCCAAAATTAGAAATCCGATACGTAGGGGGGTAGGCTTCTTCGGTACGCGATTTCGGTACGCGGTATGCCGTACCCATTGTATATGGTACGGTGAACCATAAACATATTGAATTTACCAACTATAAATATAATACAAGTATAATATTAAACAATTAACTTCAATAACTTCAATAACATTAAACAAACTTGAATAAGGCCATAAATAGGCGTGAATGCTTGGAAGGTTAAGTGTGATAAACGGTGAAGAGTTAAGGCGTGAATGAAGAGTCCGGTCGTTTAGGTATTAGAGGTACGAAGCTCCTGGAACCGCGAAGAGTTCAACCGGCGAAGAGTTAAGGCGTGAATGAAGAGTCGGGTCGTTTAGGTATTTGAGGTACGAACTACGAAGCTCCTGGAACAACGAAGAGTTCAACCGGGGCGTTTGGACTGCCGGTTCGTTGGACTCTTGCAGGAACGGCGAATGGGAAGAAGGCGACGCGGTGTACCCACCAGAAGAAGTTCGCGAACTTCCATCTGGATCTGCCGTACCGGAATTGCGAACCTTCGGCGTTCCGAACGCGACTGTACCGCGATTTGATCGCGCGTACCGGAACGCAAATCGTAGGTATGTCTGCGATCCCAGTACCTATGGATCAGACTGGGACTACCCGCCCATCGACGGACTGAACAGATATCGCTTGATCGTGGATCGGGCCGGACAGGGATCGTCGGGTCATCGATCAAACTGGACAGGGACCGTCACGTCATCGATCAGACCAGACAGGGACCGCCGGGTTGTGGATCGGACCAGGCAGTTGGGTCGTGGACCGGACTGAACAAAGACCACCGGGTCGTCGACCAGACCGGACAAGGACCGTCGGGTCGTCGACCGGACCGGATCAGGATTGCTCGGCCGTCGACCGGATCGGACAGGGACCGCTGAGTCAATGACCGAATCAGACCGCCGAGTTGTTGACCAGACCAGATAGGGATAATAGGGTTGTTGACCGAACTGGAACTGACACCAGAGCGGGACCGGATGCATCACTAGGTGTAAGTATTCAAATTCATTGCAGCGGCACTGCAACATCGGCGTTTTCCAAATTTGGAAAACTAATAAAAGGCACTTCTCCAATTCATTAAGGAAAAGAGAGACATCTCATTTTTTTTTCAAAAACGATTTGGTAAACACAGTTTTCTGTTTTCTTTTCTCAGTTTTCTAAAAATCTGGAAAGTATCTCTGTTAGTAAACAGGCCCTTAATTTTTTGCACAATGGCTTAATTTTAAACTTATCTCCTTGAAAAACACCGTCACCCCAGCTCCCCATCCCCCTAGCTCCCTATCCCCCTCACCCCCTGCCCTTTTTCCCCCAACACCCCATCAACTTTTCGGCCACCACAACATCCCCTGCCCCTTTCCAACCCCCTCCCTAATGGCCGGACTGAACCCTAGTCGCATGTTGCATCGGTCTTATGGAAAACCCCGCTCCTCCACATTTACCATCGACGGCGGCCTAGCACGCAGTCATCATCTTACTGATTCCATCCCCAATCGCCGAACAGAGAAATTGAAGATGAAAAAGAGTGCGGGGATGGCAGATGGCGGCGATGGGTGAGAGTAGAAGTGCGATGGAGGCGGGTGAGAAAAGAAGTGTGGAATAGGTGATTGTTGGCAGCGCCGGCGATTGGGTAGTGGCGGCGCTTGGATTTCGGACGGCTAGGCAGGCGCACACCTCAAAAGGCCAGAGGCGAGGCGATGCAAAATGATTTTAGGGTTTTAGGGTTTTAGTGTTTTATATATATGAGTGGTAGTTCTATCTATTCAAATATAATTAGTCTCTTTTTTGTTCAAATTAAAAACCAGTCATTTATGTCCGAGGAGAAGCTTATAGTAATATTTTTGTCATTATTTCATAAAACAATTCTCCTTAGCTCATATGTTTCATTCTTCCCCAACCATTTCCCAAGTTTCAAACATAGTCTAGTGTATGTTTGGTTCGTGGGTGGGAGGGCCGATGTGGAGAAATCATACAACTTGGTTTCGTATGATCTCATACTTAGTTGAAGTGATCATCTATCCATTTTTAATAATATCTTGAGAACAATCACATTTTTATCTTCATTCTTTTCTTTTTTCGTTCGTTTTAGATTATCTTTACCCTACCTTTAAGGAAAGGGGTTTATAGTTGATATTATTTCTCTCCTCTAAACAATTTGCAACCACATGATTTCTATTTTCTTAAAAAACATGCTTAGTCAAAACAAGAGAAAACAAAGGGATGTAGATAGTGTCATTTTGAATATGCTCTTTAAAATTTTATGCATGTGTTGAGTAATAGGTTTATGTTTTTTCATGAGGACAGGTGCACTTCATGGGATTCCTTATGGTCTGAAGGATATTATTTCAGTCCCTCAGTACAAGACAACATGGGGATCCAAAACTTATATTAATCAAACTCTTGATATTGAAGCATGGGTTTATAAAAGGTACAGAGAACTGAAAGTGTTTGTTATGCATGGGGATTCTTTGCATCAAAAGGATATACCCGAAGGAGCGGTGAAATTTAAGGGAGTTTTCTTTCTCCTTAGGAGTTTGGAGAGTTTCCCTTCTCCTTGGTTTCCTTTTCCTTCTTTCTTGGATATCTTATTTGCATATCACATGTTTTTGTAACATCGTTTACATGCATGTAAATTCCTAAAACCAGGAAAAAGAAATCCTAGCAAATCACTTCCTAAATCAGATTAACGCATGAAGGTATCAGAATAAAATCAATCAAGCAAAACAATGATCTATCACTCCTCATTCATCTACTCAGTTGCTCTTTTATCTTCCCATAATATTGTAGTTTAGTGTAGAGATTAAAATATTCAATTGATTATGATAAGATTTGTTCTGATCATAATTTGATTTCTTAGGATCAATTCATTTTAAATTGAAGTCACATATCGGAAAATTGTGAAATAATAAAGTGCTATATTAAGATATGGGCTACTCCTCTTATCGGATTGACTTTTGAGGATGAAATCCCGTATCTTAACACAATTCGAAGATTTGTAAGTATTAAGAGATCTTGTACATCACCGCCGTCTAATCAATTTGGAGGCCCGTTCTAAATGTAAAATCGAGGCCCCACATTAATATAAAAAAATTAAACAATAACCATCCAAATACTTATATTCAAATCAATTGAATATTCATTAAAAAAGAACTAAAAGAGTAAAAGGATCAACGAAAAAAATGGTGGATCTATATTTTTTCCTTACTAACTGTATTTAATATTAATATACTACCTGCATCTCGAAAAGGTTCGGCATATTGAGTTTTCTTGGTCAATGATGACAAACTTTGGATAATGATTTTAATTAATATATTTCAATAAAATTTATAATTTTTATATTTTTATGAAAATATTTTTAATGAAGAACATTTTGGTATAATTTTCATATTCAAAATAATTTCCTGCTAAAAAATATCATTGATCAAAGTTGATTGTCATTGATCAAGAAAAATCAATTTGACAAATTGTTTTTGGGGAGGAGGGAGTATAATATTACTCCGTACTATATAATACTAAAAGAAATTTAAAAATTTGGGGCCCCATAAATCTGGGGGCCTTTTCTAGATAACCTATTGAATCCTCTAAAAATGGCCCTATTGTACATAATTACTTTTGCTTTATTAACCTAGTCGAGGCCTATAAGTTGTAATTACCTGATGTATTTTACACTTAAGAATTAAATTCTATTCTTCAAATTGGGACCAGAGCTTCACGTTTCTAGGGGCTCTGCTTCCGCGCACAACACAATAAAAGGTCGTTCTCATTGCAAAATTACTACCAAAAAGCTGCTCCTCTAGGTTCTGTTCCAGAGGCGATTTTTCCTTTTTCGAAAATGCCACCTTGCTACTCTGGTATTCTTTTTCTTCACAATGCCTCTCTTCCACCTTTGACCCACAATGACCTCCCAATCCTCCCAATATTGCAAGGGTCATACTAGTTAGATGGGTGCAACTATCTTCAATGGGCCCAACTTCTTCGTAGAGGACGTAAGAGGATTAATCACAACGAAGACAAAGTCCTTGCTAGAAGACAAAGCTCTCAGTGATTGAGACTCAACAAGAGCAAGAAGTTAATTCCGAACAACTTCCTTTCACAAAGGAACAGATAGAACACCTACTTCAGTTTCTAGCTACCTAAAAAATATCCAACCAGGAAACCCCTTCTTGTTCTTTTGCCCAAAATGGTAAAACTATATCATAATTCTGTTCTGAAAAATAAAATAACACCCGGGTCCTTGACTCAGGTGCAACAGACCACATGACCTTTATTCCAAATTCCTATTGTTCCTATAAACCTTGTGCAGGGGATAAAAAAGTCAAATTGCAGATGGCTCTTTTTCAGCCATTGCAGGGATGGGAAATGTCAAGATTTCCTCATCTATTAACCTTTCTAAAGTCCTACATGTTCCAAAACTTTCTTGTAACCCTGTCTCTGTTAGCAAGTTAACCAAAGATCGCATCGAGGAGGATGATTGGCAGTGCTAGAGAGGAAGATGGACTCTATATCTTTTTTGAAGGGACTGAATTAAATAAAGAAGGTCAAGGAAAAACTTGTGTGCAAACTATTTCTTTTCCTTGTAATAATGAGGTGTATTTAATGCACTATAGATTAGGTCATCCTAGTTTTTATTATTTGAAAAATATTGTTTCCTCAATTATTTCATAATAAAGATCCTTCATCATTTCATTGTGATATGTGTGCACTTGCAAAACATCACAAGAATTCTTATATCTCTCATAGTTACAAACCAACTATTCCTTTTACTCTTGTGCATAGTGATATTTGGGGTGCATCTAGAGTTTCTACATTACAAGGAAAGAGGTGGTTTGTAACTATCATAGATGATCATACCCGGGTAACATGGGTTTTTTTGATTAAAGAAAAATCTGAAGTTGAAGATGTGTTCAGAAAATTTTACTCAATGGTCCAAACTCAATTCAATACCAATATCAAAATGGTAAGAAGTGATAATGACCGTGAGTATTTTTCTCAAAGTTTAAATAATTTTTTTGTTAAAAAGGGATTGTACATCAAAGTTCTTGCATAAATACACCTGCTCAGAATGGAATAGTTGAGGGGAAAAATAAGCATTTACCGGAAGTTACTCGTGCAATCATGTTTTCAACCAAAGTTCCAAAATATTTATGGGGAGATACTGTTTTACATGCTACCTATTTAATTAATAGGATGCCATAAAAAATTCTAGGATTTAAAACTCCTATTGACACACTTCAAATCTGTTTTCCTAAAACCAGATTGATCAACTCTCTTCCCTTAAAAATTTTTGGTTGCACAGTATTTGTCAACAATCCTGATAAAACAGCAAGCAAGTTTGACCCTAGAGGTACAAAATGTGTTTTTCTAGAACTATCTTCAACACAGAAAGGATATAAATGTTTTGATCCTACAACAAAAAGGATGTTTGTAACCATGAACACTCATGAAAGGAGATGAGCATCGGACAAGTAATTTTTTTGGCAAAGTTTATGAAAGGAGAGTTCCAACTCAAAGATTAGAGGACATCTCTAGTCCTGCAAGTGCTCATGAATCTGACTTGATACCAGCAAATGAAAAAGGTAATAATTTCAGTGATCTTAATTTGCCAATTGGTCTCAGAAAAGAGAAAAGGTCATGTGTCAGATACCCTATCTCAAACTATGTGTCTTATTCCCGGTTGTACTTATCATTTGCAGCCTTTACCTCTACTCTTTCCTCTATTGCAATTCCATTAACCATACAGGAAACTCTATCTAAACCTGAGTGGAAGAAAGCTGTTTTGGAAGAGATGGATGCTCTTGAAAGGAATCATACATGGCAGGTTGTAGAGTTACCCAAGAACAAACCAACTGTGGGATGTAGATGAGTTTTTACCCCTAAGTTCAAGGCAAATGGAACACTTGAAAGATACAAGGCCAGGTTGGTTGCCAAAGGATATACACAAACCTATGGCATGGACTATACTGAGACCTTTGCTCCTGTTGCAAAATTAAATACGATAAGGATTCTATCTTTAGCTGCTAACCTAGATTGGCCACTTCAACATTTAGATGTGAAGAATGCCTTCTTGAATGGGAAACTTGAAGAGGTGTACATGAGTTCTCCCCTGGATTCGAGGGAAAATATGGTTCAAAGGTGTGCAGATTGGAGAAAGCCTTGTATGGACTTAAACAGTCCCCAAGGGCTTGGTTTGACAGGTTCACTCAGTTCATAAAGAGACAGAGATTCCAACAAGATCAAGCTGATCATACATTCTTTATGAAATTTTCAAGTAAGGGGGAGATTGCAATATTAATTGTTTATGTTGATGATATAATTCTTACAGGAGATTATTATAAAGAAATTGCAAGTCTGAAGGAGAAACTAGCCCAGAAATTTGAGGTCAAAGATCTGGGAGAATTAAAGTACTTTTTGGGGATGGAGAGCTAGATCAAAGAAAGGAATTGTGGTATCACAGAGGAAGTATGTACTAGACCTTCTTCAAGAAACAGGTATGAGTGAGTGCATGCAGACCAATAGATACCCCAATTGACCCTAATCAAAAGCTGGGAGATGTCAAAGAGGGAGTTTCAGTTAATGTTCAGCAATATCAAAGATTGGTGGGAAGATTGATTTATTTGGCACATACAAGACCAGACATTGCCTTTGGAGTTATTATGGTTAGCCAATTTATGCATAATCCATTTCAGGAACATCTTGATGCCACTTACAGAATTTTAAGGTATTTGAAAAGCTGTATAGGGAAAGGATTATTCTTAAAAAAAACAGTACAACTGTTGAGACCTTTACGGATGCAGACTATGCTGGTTCAATTACTGTTAGAATATCTACTTTTGGGTATTGTACCTATGTATGGGGAAATCTGGTGACTTGGAGAAGCAAGAAGCATAATGTGGTTGCTAGGAGTAGTGCATAATCTGAATTCAGGTCTATGGCTAATGGGATCTGTGAATTACTTTGGATCAAGAGAGTAATTTCAGAATTAAAGATGAAGATGAATCTGCCTATGAAGTTATATTGTGATAATAAGGCAACAATTAGTATTGCTCATAATCCTATGCTACATGATCGTACTGAACATATTGAAGTGGACAGACACTTCATAAAAGAGAAGATTGAAGCTGAAATTGTGTGTACACCATTCATATCTACCAAAGAACAAACAACTGATATCTTCACAAAGGGGTTGTTCAAACCAGTGTTTGAACTACTTATAAGCAAGTTGGGAATGTATGATATATACTTACCAACTTGAGGGGCAGTGTAGAAAAATGTGACATGTATTTCTATTTTTTAATTAATGTACGTATGTAGTTGTATAAATAAGAGTTTAGAGCGGTTAGACCTCTTTAATTAAGAGAAGCACGCAGTTAGATAGATCCTATATTTTAGGATTTGTACATGGAGTTTGTTATTTGTAATTTGTATATATACTCCTGCCGGATGGCTCAATAATATTCAAGGAAGACTAATTCCTAAAACCTACAAAATGTTATTCTCTAACATGATTAAGTTCAGATCCTATGGGATGACCACCGAGAGAGATGTATATATCTTAGTCACCTCTGAACATTCAGAGGTTGGAGATGGCAACAACCAGAATGTCAATGGAAGCACAGTCACCACTGTACAAAATACCAACCAGATTTGATTATTACTTGCCATAAACTCAATGATAGTAATTATCTACAATGGTGCTGTGGTAGGCATGTGACGACCAACAGTATCACCTAGTCACATCACATGAATCGAAATATGAATATCGTTAATGCTAGGTCGTCACCCGTAAGTGACGCGTCATCCCTCCGCATGGGGGTGGTGTCAAATATGCAAGGGCGCACTACACTTCATAGATCTGGGTGTGGTGATAAGAATGCTAAGGTTGCTAGGTCGCCACCCGGAAGCGGCGTGTCATCCCATTGCCCGGGGATGATGTCAAATATGCAAGGGCATGGTGGGGTCCGAGATGGGGCTAAGAACAAAAGGTGGAGTGCTAGATTGCATTTTGGGACATGGAATGTTGGGTCTCTTACAGACAAATCTTCCGAGGTAGTCGAGGTTATGAGGAGAAGGAATATCACCATCATGTGTGTGCAAGAAACTAAATGGGTTGGAGAGAAAGCACGCGAGATTAATCCCGGAGGTTTTAAGTTGTGGTATTCGGGGAGAGATAAGACCAGAAATGGGGTAGGCATTATTGTGGCGCGTGACTATGTTGAGGATGTGGTAGAAGTCTTCAGGAAGAACGATCGCATCATGGACATTAAATTGGTGATAAGGGGTGAGAATGTGTCTGTGATAAGTGCCTATGCACCACACGTGGGATAGGATGCATCTACAACTCAACATTTCTGGGAAGATCTTGAAGATGTGGTGCGGCGAGTGCCAAGGGGAGAGATGTTGATCATAGGAGGTGACCTCAACGGGCATGTGGGCTCGAGTCGTGATGACTTTGAGAGTATTCATGGCGGACATGGTTTTGGCACTAGGATTGAGGCGGGAAAGAACATTTTGGATTTTACCTTGACGTATGAGTTGGCTGTAATGAACACTTGGTTTAAGAAAAGAGACTCTCACCTTGTAACCTATAAAAGTGGAGCTAATAGTACCCAAATTGACTACTTCTTAGTACGGACCACTTGGAGAACTAGCTACACTGATTGTAAGGTTATTCCAGGTGAGAGTGTTGTCACTCAGCATAGGATGCTTGTGCTTGACTTTCGAGGTAAGCACCATAGAAGACAAGTTAAACAACAAGTGGAGCCAAAGATAAAGTGGTGGTGGCTTGAGGGAGATCTTCAACAAAGCTTTACACACAAAATGGTCGGTGAAGATGTATGGCGTATTGATAATGAAACACATGTGGATGATGTGTGGTTATCAATGGAGTTGACCATTAACAAAGTGGCAAAGGAGGTACTTGGAGAATCCAAAAGATGTTTGCCACCTAAAAAGGACACATCTTGGTGGAATGATGAGGTGAAACAAGCCATAAGGAACAAAATAGATTGCTACAAAAAGTTAGGGACAAGTTGGAGTGATGAGAACATAGAAGCATTCAAGGAGGCTAAAAGACAAGCAAAGAAAGCCGTAAGGGAAGCACGGGGGAAAGTGAACAAGGAGTTGTATGAAAAGTTGGACTCTAAAGAAGGAGAACTAGATATTTATAGACTTGCTCTTCTTCGTGATCGCAAGACTCAAAATATTGCAAAAGTTAAATGTGTGTAGGATGTCGATCAGAGGATATTAATGGACGACGGAGAGATAAAAGAGAGGTGGAGGTCATACTTTGATACACTATTCAACCGGAACAAAACGCAAGATATCGGTGATTTGTCCATACCAGATTGTATGGTTAATCGTGATTTTGTGAGAAGGATCCAAACAACAGAAGTTAAAGAAGCTCTGAGGAAGATGGGATGGAAGAAAGCAATGGGGCCAGATGGCATACCGATCGAGGCTCGGAGAAGTTTGGGAGAGAGAGGTGTCGAGTGGTTAACAAGTTTCTTCAACATGATTTGGAGAAACAACAAGATGCCAACGAGTTGGAGGAAGAGTATTCTTATCCCCTTATTTAAGAATAAAGACGATGTACAAGAATGTGCCAACTGTCGAGGGATTAAGCTTATGAGTCACACCATGAAACTTTGAGAGCGAGTGATTGAGCAAAGACTTCGAAGAACTGTGAAGGTTTCAGAATCAATTCGGTTTTATGCCTGGTCGCTCAACAACTGAGGCCATTCACCTTCTTCGCCAACTTATGGAGAAGTATAGAGATGCTCACAAGGATCTGCATTTGGTGTTCATTGACTTAGAAAAGGCATATGATAGGGTACCTCGAGAAGTTCTTTGGTGGGCCTTAACTAAGAAAGGCATATCACACAAGTATATCAGCATCATCATGGATATGTATGAGGATTGTACTACAATTGTCCGTACAAGAGTTCCCTAATACTATCGGAGTGCACCAAGGATCGGCCTTGAGCCCTTTCTTATTTGCCATAGTCATGGATGAACTTACGAAGTCAATTCAAGACGATATACCGTGGTGCATGATGTTTGCCGACGATATTGTATTGATTGATGAGATGCAATCAGGTCTTAAAGCAAAGTTGGAAGTATGGCGACAAACATCGGAGAATAAGGGTTTCTAACTAAGTCGGAGCAAGACAGAGTACATGGAGTGCAAGTTTGGTGGAGGTAGAAGCAGCGGTAATATCGGAATTACTCTGGATGGTAAGGAGATACTAGTCAACGATATGTTCCGTTACTTGGGCTCCATAATTCAGAAGGACGGTGAGTTAGATGGAGATGTATCCCATAGACTCAGAACAGGGTGGATGAAGTGGAAGAGTGTGTCAGGATTTCTTAGCGACCGATTTTCTTTGTTTTCCTTTTGGTTGTGATATCATGTATCGATTCATGTTAGCCGACCCCAATATCTTTTGGGACTAAGGCTTGGATGTTGTTGTTGGTGCCAGTCAGTTATGATGGATGTGTGGAAAAGATAAGGAGGACTATTTGACATCTCTCTCCGAATCAAGGAGATCCAAGCTACAAAAAGTGGAAAAAAGAGAACTATATTGTGATTTCATGGCTCATCAATTCCATGACAACCAGTCTAGGGGAAAACTTGCTACTGTACAAAACAGCTCAAGAGATTTGGGAGGCTGTGAAAGAAACGTACGTCACTTAGATAACACTTCTGAATTATTTGATGTTGAATCATTGCTACATAATCTCCCCAGGGAGAATTGAGTGTAACTCAATACTTCATCTTGTTGTGTTTGAGACATACATCTGGTCATGTTCTAAGGATAAGAAGCTATATCAGGAGATCTGTGAGAGGAAAAGAGTCTTCAAATTCCTACTAGGCTTGGACAAAATTCTAGATGAGGTTAGGGGCAGGATAATGGGAGAGAAACTCACATTTAGAGAAACCTTCTGATAGAGAGCAGGGAGATCAAAGGGAGGGAACGGGTTTGGGCCCATCTCCGTGGGTTGGTTGTGGGCTAGGATTATAGTTTTATTTATTATTATAAAGTTTATGTTATGTTTTCTAGTTTGGGCCTATTACAGTAGAGTAGTTAGTAGGGTTAATGTGGGCCTAATTAGGGTTTTAATTAATTTGAGCTCGATTTGGGTTTCTTTTGAGTCTCTTACTAGAAGGCTTTTTACACCCTTGCCAGGGTTCATTCTTGCTTTTCTATGAATAAAATTGGAGTTTAGCCTTTTGGCTTTGGGCAATGATTTCTATCGTTGATTATTCTGGGCAACATATTACCCCGTTGATATTTATTTTTCTGTTTTCATCAATTGGTCCGACCTGCCGGATCCCGTCTCCCCGGAATGACGAGATCAATCACTGAACGTTTGACAAAGATGGAGGCTGAGCAAGCCCTAACCAATCAAAAACTGGACGCGCAAGGAGCGAAACTGGACGTGCAATGAATCCAACTGGCAGAGATCGTAGCCTCCTTCGTTGCGCTAACAAATGCTCTCGCTCCGCCAGCGGCGGATGAGCGTCCATCGACGGTGACTTCACTCGACGCGGCAGCAACATCCTCGTTCGGAACTGGATTGTGCAGCACCTCTCTCATGATGCTGTCCTCGTCGTTTGACGGAGAAGACCCGATCGGCTGGGTTGATAGGGCTGAGCAACTGTACTCCATTGGGAAAGAAGGTGGCAACCGCTGTAGTTGCGATGAAAGGGTCTGGTTGACATGATTATGAGCACGAAAGGCGGGCATGTCATGGGATGAGCTTACACAGGCGTCGATGGCTCGTTTTGACTCACGGTTTAAGGGCAATCGCTTTGAACGGCTGTCCGGAGTCAAGCAGACATCTCAATTTTTGTTCAACTTACAAGTCAGGTCCCAAGGCTAGTCCCAAGGCTATATGACGATCATTACTTGGGGTATTTCATGATCGGGCTGAATGGATCGAGTGGCAACTTTCCTAAAGATATTGGGCAGCGCCCAGGAACAAATATGAGCCGGTTTCCAGATTTCAACCTTGAGGACAAGGTTGTTTCGAAGGAGGATGGATTGATAGAGAGCAGGGAGATCAAAGGGCGGGGACGGGCTTGGGCCCACCTTTGTGGGCTGGTTGTGGGCTAGGATTATAGTTTTATTTATTATTATAAAGTTTATATTATGTTTTCTAGTTTCGGCCTATTATTAGTAGAGTAGTTAGTAGAGTTAATGTGGGCCTAATTAGGGTTTAATTAATTTGGGCTCGATTAGGGTTTAATTAATTTGGGCTCGATTATGGTTTCTTTTGAGTCTCTTACTAGAAGGCTATTTATACCCTTTCCGGGGTTCTATCTTGCTTATCTATGAATATAATTGGAGTTTAGCCTTTTGGCCTTAGGCAACGATTTCTATCGCTGATTATTCTGGGAAACAGATTACCCCGTTGATTTTTATTTTTTTTTATTTTCATCACCTTCTCAGAAGTCAGAAGAGAAAAAGCAGAAAGAAGGTAATGATGAGTCTAAAATATCAAGGCCAACAACAAAGCATTGAAGGGTCAACATTATATACCTCTTCTAGACAGAATGAAAACAAGAAAAAAGGGATGCCATGTTGGTGTGATCAGTGTAAGAAACCAGGCCATACCAAAGAAACATGTTGGAATTTGCATCGTAAACCTAAATATTTCAAATCAAGCAAAGGGAAAGAAGCCTATGTAGCTACCGGAGATAAGGAAGACATGGACACATCACACATCTAATTCTGCTGCATTTATCAATGAGCAGATTGAGGTCCTTCAACACCTAATAAGTCAGCGCAAAGGGCCTACACCACCAACTAGCTTGACTCCTCAGACAGGTAATGCCTTAACAACCCTAGTTGCACAAAGTCAGCCCTATTGGATTGTTGATTCAGGGGCATGAAGTTTTTTGCTGAATTGGTCCCTATGAAGAATAATGTGACCGTGAAGACTGCTGAAGGAACTACTTCAGCAATAAAAGAGACTGGCAGAGTGAAAATTTCTGATAAGATAGAGTGCTTAATAATGTGTTATATGTCCTAAATTTAAAGTTTAACCTCTTATCAGTTAGTAAACTGAATAATGATAAACATTGCCTAACTAAATTCTCTTCTCAATTATGTGAATGTCAGGATTTGGATTCAGGGAGGATGATTGGCCGTGCTAAGCAAAGTGGTGGACTCTATCTTCTGGAACATTCACCACATTCACCAAACTCTACCAATAAGACAACTTCTACTGAGAGTCAATTCAACCATAAGTTCTTAGAGAGTCTTCGTAGCAGTGAATTTGATACTCAAATTTAGCTATGACATTATCGTCTTGGTCATCAATGTCTTGTTCTTGGAAAAACTTTTATTAATGAAAAACTTTTTCATTAATAAAAAGTCACTATCCGAGCCTACCTTACAAACCATCCAAACCATTTTATCTCATCCACAGTGATGTTTGGAGCCCATAAATGAAAAAGATCTCATTGGTTCAAGGCGGTTTGTTCTGTTTATTGATGATCATAGACGCATAACCTGGGTCTTCATCATGAAAGAAAAGTCAGAAGTCAATACTATCTTTAAAAAATTCTATTCTATGATCAAAACCCAGTTTCAAACCAAGATTCAAGTTTTTTAAAAAAACAATGCCAAAGAATATTTCTCATCCAATTTAGGAGAGTTTCTGTCCAAAAAGGGGATTACACACATTAGCTCATGTGTTGACACCCCACAAGAAAATGAGGTAGCAGAAAGAAAGAATAGACACTTACGGGAAGTTGTTAGAGCCCTTGTGTTCACCACTCACACTCCTAAACACTACTAGGGAGAGGCTGTCCTAACTGCAGCTTACCTGATAAATATCATGCCCTCCAAAATTCATCAATTTAAAACACCATACCAAATCCTATCTAATCTACATCCCCATCAAAGGTCTTTGGTTGCAAAGCATTTGTTCACAACCATACTCCACCTAGGTCAAAGTTGGATCCCAAATCCCTACCTTGTCTATTCATAAGATGTGCTGCCAACGAGAAAGGATATAAATGTTATTTTCCTACCACAAAAAAGGTCTACATCACAATGGATGTTACCTTTTCTGAAAATCAGCGTTTCTATCGCAAAACTGAATTTCAGGGGGGAGAATCACAATGAAATCCAATCTCTGAATCCTCTTTCAGACCTTCAAGAATCTGGCTCCTCCAAGAATCTGGCTCTAACCACACTGAACCCATACTTCCAGAAAGACTGAATCAATCCCTCCACACAATACAATCTCTCCCTCAACCTCCGCATTTCAGCCACCAACTTCATCACCTCAAAACGCTACACTAAATCAAAATTCCCCATTCTACAAGAATACCTACAACAGGAAACCTAGAATCAGAGTTCCAGAAGAAGAGCACATCACTCCAATTAACACCACCCAATCATCTGACTCAAATCTGAATCATGATGACAAAGAGGTTGAGGCTATAGCTTTATAGAAGGAGATGAGGATGCGAAGACTTGCATATTGCTATCATAAATGGAGTAAGGGAGTGTACGAAATATTCTATCTATAATTTTGTTTGTTATAAGAAACTATCACCAAACTATCAAGCTTTTATTTCATTGATTGATAATATTCATGTTCCTAACAACATCATGGAAGCCCTTGAACATCCAGGGTGGAGGAAGGTTGTCTATGATGAATTAGCAGCATTGAAGAAAAATGGAACTTGGGTGCTTACAGATTTTCCAGTACGGATGAAAACCGTTGGCTGCAAGTGGGTATTCAGCCAAAGCTGGTTGCTAAGGGGTTCATCCAAGCTTATGGCATTGGTTATTCACAGACATTTGCACCAATGGCAAAGTTGAACACCATTAGAGTATTGCTATCACTTGCAGTGACCATTACATCAACTAGATGTTAAGAGTGCCTTCCTAATGGAGACCTAGAAGAAGAAGTATTCATGGATGTACCACCAGAGTTAGAAGACTTGGTGAAATCTGGCCAAGTTTGCAGACTGAGGAAGTCCTTGTATGGGCAGTCTCCTAAAGCGTGGTTTGATAGATTCACAAGATCAGTTATTAAACAAGGATTCATGGGAATGGAAGTGGCAAGATCTAAGAAAGGCATTTTCATTTCACAAAGGAATATGTCCTAGATTTGTTAAGTGAAACTGGAATGTTTGGGTGCCAACCTATGGAAACTTCTATGGATATATCAAAGAAGTTAGGCAGTGAGAATGAAAGTCCACGAGTTGATAAGGGTACATATCAAAGGCTGGTAGGGAAGCTAATTTACCTATCTCACGCACGACCAGACATTGCTCGGCCAGACATTGCTTTCTCAGTAAGTGTGGTGAGTCAATTTATCACTGACCCAACTGAGGTATATCTAACTGCAGTCTATATAATAAAGTGACTCCTGGAAAAGAATAGTTGTTTCAAAAATAGGGGATAAGGAAGACTGAAGTGTTTACCGATGTTGATGGGGCTAGAAGCATCTTAGACAGAAGGTCAACTACTTGTTACCATACTTATGTATGGGTAACTTAGTCACCTGGAGGAGCAAGAAACAATCAGGAGTTTCTAGAAGTAGTGCAGAACCTGAGCTCAGGGCTTTAGCACAAGGAATCTGTGAAGGATTATGGTTAAGAAGATTGATGAATGAGCTCAAACTTCCATTTGAAAGCTCCATCCAGATTTCATGTGCTAATCAGTCTAGTATTGCTAAGAATCCTTTCCATCATGAAAGGACCAAACACATTGAGATTGATAGACGATTCTTATCAGAGAAGATTGCAGCAAAGGATATCCAGCTTAGCTATGTTCCAACCAGGCATGATATACTCACCAAGGCACTTCCAAGAATTCAGTTAGAAGACTTATCTAGCAAGCTGTGCATGGATGATATCCATCACCCAGTTGGAGGGGGAGTGTAGATTATTACAGATTATTCTAATTACTCACCTGATTGTGTATTTATGAGGAGATATCTTAGAGATCTCAGAATCTCTAAATATCCCTTCTTTTTAGGAAACCTTAATTAGGACTTAATTAGGAGGATTCCTTCCTTATTTCTCTTTTCTCTAGCTATATATATTCTGTAATCTTCTCCTTGTATTACACAGAAAAAATAAACTAAATAAAGATTTCTTTCTCGAGTTCTTTCTACAAAAATATATTCTCGATCTTCTGAAAGAGACTGGTAAGTTGGGTTGCAAAATCAAAGAAGTACTCATAGAGCAAAATCACAATATTGGTAGTGATGAGGAGAGCCCAAAAGTAGAGAAGACTCAATACCACAGACTCAAGGGAAAACTCATTTACCTTGTCACACAAAGCCTAATGTAACCTATCCTGTTAATGTTGTTCGTTAGTTCATGCATGACCCATGAAAAAGGCACCTGCAGGCAGTGAATAAAATCTTGCAATATTTGAAGGCATGTTCTGGAAGAGGGCTATTATTAAAAAAGAGGAGCACCTGTCTATGGAGATCTATACAGATGCATACTACGCACGGTCAGTTGTTGAGCGGATGTCCACTACGGGATATTGCATGTTCTTAGGTTGAAATTAAGCGACATGGAGGAGCAAGAAGCAGAGTGTAGTTGCAAGATCAAGTACAAAAGCAGAATTCAGAGCCTTGGCTCAAGGTGTTCGTGAATTGTTATGGGTGAAGATCATTTGGGAGATTAAAATACTGTGTAAAGCTTTTACAAGACTCTTATGTGATAATAAATCTGCTATTAGTATTGCTCATAATCCAGTTCAGCATGACATCACAGAAAATCTGAATAGTGGTTTTATTTCTATACAATATGTTCCTTCAGGGCTTCAGTGGGCCTGATGTGCTCACCAAAGGACTTCCCGTAGAGCGATTTTGAAAACTTACTTGCAAGCTAGGTGTGAAAGACATTAGAATATACTTTAGAATATACTTTATAATATGCTTTAGAATATTCTTCTATCTTTAGAATGTGCTTTAGAATATTTTAGGAATATACTCTAGGATATTATTATTGTATAGAATCTTATAGGATTATTCTATCTTTGTAATATATATATAGGGACTTAATCCTCCGATGAAATACACAGAAAATTCCTTTCTTCTCTCTCAATTATTACTATCATTCTTATTATTCTAGTTTATATTTCAACATGGTATCAGAGCCATCCATTTGAGTTTATTTTTCAGATTTCAACTTAGTTTTCAAACTCTGTTCTTTCTCCGAGAGCCTGAGTTCAGAACCTCTGGGTACCATTTTGTCTCCCAGAAACTCAGTCCAGGACAGAACCTCTCTACACACCATCACCATTAAACAAAACCTCTATTCAGAATCTTAGTTCAAGCAAATTTAGAACCTCAGTATCAAGCAAACTGCACCATTCAGAATCTGCCAGGTGCCCAAGTCCGACCATCTTCCCGGCGAATTTCTGATTACACCATCCCTGTCGCCTCCGACCCGGCGTTGGAAGTTTGCAGCTGCAAGTCGACGTCCATCAGCACTCACTACAACAGGTATTTGATCGGAACTTTTCACAAAACCTCAAAGCCATCTGTTTGTACACGTTACTTCCAGGTATTCTTCTCTCGTTCTTTCTCAAGCAAGAGACGGAATCAGACGGATATCTCTGTGGGCTGGAGGAAGTCTTGTCGGTCGCTAGTATCTGGCATCGGATATCTATGGATATCCTCCCCTTCGACTGAGATCGTATCTATTTAGCGCATCCTTTTTCTTCCCCAGTCCAAAGACGAAACTTGAAGAGTCCGTAGCCGTAAAGCCCAATTGATTGGTTATTTTATTAAAGTTTTTTTTGAGCCCACAAACGAGAAGGCTGCTGTAAGTTTCCATTGCTATCTAAGTTTTGAACTTAATTGCCAAAAAAAAATAAAAAAGAAACAAAAAAAAGAAACAAAAAAAATGTCTTGTACGGGTCCATGTGGCAGAGGAGTAATATGCAATTACTGCAAGAAGTCCGGACACTTGATAAAAGAATGTAGGAAATTGCTATTCAAGAATCAAGGAAATCAGCTTGGTCATGTTGCTTCCGCTACCAGTTCATCTGATGGATCAAATGCTGTTTCTTCGGGTAGTCGCTACCAAGAATTTCTAAAGCATTCATCTGTCCCTATCTCGGTAGTCGCTAATTCAGGTATTTCAAACACACGTCTTGTTTCCTCATCCTCGAAATGGGTCATTGACTCAGGTGCCACATATCATATGACTGATAATCCTAATCTATTCTCATCATTTCATTCATATTTACCTACTTCTAGTGTCACTTTAGCCGATGGATCTACCTCACATGTTCTTGGATCTGGTACTGTTATCCCAACTTTTACACTACCATTATCACCTGTTTTGAGTCTTCCTAATTTTGCATTTAATTTGCTTTCCATCAGCAAAGTCACGCGTACTCTTAATTGTTCTGTTTCCTGGATATTGTGTGTTTCAGGATCTGTTAACGAAGCAGACTATTGGTAAAGGACATGAGTCAGCTGGTCTTTATATTTTGGATACATCAATCACAAAAGGTATCTCTTGTCTTGGGGTTGGGACTTTGTTAGAGACTCATTACCGATTAGGACATACATCTCTCCCATTAATGAAGCAAATAAATCCCCAATTCAGTAAGATGATCTCTTTACAACGTGAGTCATGTCAATTTGCGAAACACCATCGTACTAGCTTAAGCCCTTGAGTTAATAAACGAGCAAATGCTCCATTTGACCTTGTTCACTCTGATGTTTGGGGTGCTTGCCCGATTGTGTCTAAAGGTGGTTTTAAATATTTTGTTACCTTTGTTGATGACTATTCTCGTATGACATGGTTGTATTTCGTGACACGTCGATCTGAGTTGTTCACTCAATTTTCTTCCTTTTGTGCTGAAATTAAAACTCAGTACGTTCCTGTTCGGGTGTTAAGAGGAGACAATGCCCAAGAATATCTATCTGTTACATTTAAGTCATTTTTGCTTCAGCATGGTATTATTCATCAAACTTCATGCGTTGACACACCTCCTCAAAATGGGGTTGCAGAACGAAAGAACCGACATCTGTTAAAAACTGCAAGGGCTCTTCTATTCCAAATGAATGTGCCTAAATAGTTTTGGGCCGATGCCGTGTCTACTGCATGTTTTTTGATAAATCGTATGCCATCTTCTGTTTTGAATGGTAAAGCTCCTTATCATTGTCTATTTCTAAACAAAGAGCTTTTTCCTATCCCACCTAAAATATTTGGTTGCACTTGTTTTGTTAGAGATGTTAATCCTCATCTTACAAAGCTAGATCCCAAATCATTAAAATGTATTTTCTTGGGTTATTCTCGAGTCCAAAATGGGTATAGATGTTTTTGTCCGAGTACAGGTCGGTGGTATCTTGTTTCTATTGATGCATCATTTCATGAAAATACATCTTTTTCATCATCTAAGGCAGATATTCATGAGAATAATGATGATATACTCATTTACACGATGACTATTCCCGAGTCCAACTTTCGACAAGTATTCCACAAGTTACTGTTCCTGACCCTAAGATTCCTGTACACTTGGTATACACCCGTCAACACAAAGCACCTGATCACCCTCCATCAGCGACACCTGATCACACAAAGCATCTTGATACTAGTCCGACTTCGATCTCATGTCTTGAACCAGTACCTGCATCATCAGATCTTGTCTCTACATCTGATCTTGACCTCCCAATAGCACTACGTAAAGGTACACGGTCTTGTATTCATCCTATTTCTTCATTTGTGTCGTATAGTCAGTTATCCCCTGCCTCATGTTCTTTTATTGCTTCCATTGATTCTATTTCTGTTCTCGAATCTGTTAAAGAGGCTTTGTCTCATCCTGAATGGCGTCATGCCATGATAGAGGAAATGAAGGCTTTGGATCTTAATGGTACTTGGGATTTGGTAGACTTGCCTACAGGGAAAGTCTATTGGATGTAATTGAGTCTTTGGTGTTAAGGTTAACCCAGACGGATCTGTTGCTCGGTTGAAAGCCCGATTAGTAGCGAAGGGTTATGCTCAAACCTATGGTGTTGATTATTCTGACACTTTTTCTCCGGTTGCTAAATTAACATCTGTCAGGTTACTTATTTCTCTCGCTGCAACTCATGGTTGGCACTTACAACAATTGGACATTAAGAATGCATTCCTGCACGGTGATCTTCAGGAGGAAGTTTATATTGAGCAACCTCCGGGGTTTGTTGCTCAGGGGGAGTATGGAAAAGTCTGTCGACTTCGCAAGTCTCTTTATGGTTTGAATCAGAATCCCCGTGCATGGTTCGGGAAATTCAGTCAATCAATTGAACGGTTTGGAACGATCAAAGGAAAATCGGATCACTCTGTATTTTACAGACGAACGAAAGCAGGTATCACATTGCTTGTGGTGTATGTTGATGATATTGTGATTACAGGGAGTGATAATGCAAGTATTTTGGCCCTTGAGAATTTTCTTCATAGTCAATTCCAGATGAAAGATTTGGGCTCATTGAAATACTTCTTGGGGATTGAGGTTACACGGAGTAAGAAAGACATATTTCTATCTCAACGTAAATATGTGCTTGACTTGCTAACTGAAACAGGGAAATTAGGGGCAAAACCGAGCAATACTCCCATGATTCCCAATGTGCAGCTCACTCATGAAGGCGTGGCATTTGAAGATCTTGAAAGATATATAAGGTTGGTTGGAAAGCTTAATTATCTCGTAGTTACTCGTCCGGATATTGCGTACTCAGTGAGTGTAGTAAGTCAATATATGTCATCTCCGACAGTTGATCATTGGAATTCTGTAGAGCATATATTATGTTACTTGAAAGGGACACCAGGACGAGATATTGTTTATCAAAATCATAATCACATGAGAATAGAATGCTTTGCAGATGCTGTTTGGACTGGATCTAAAGATGATAGAAGATCCACATCTGGCTATTGTGTCTTTGTTGGTGGTAATCTCGTCTCTTGGAAAAGTAAGAAGCAGAATGTGGTTTCTCGTTCGAGTGCTGAATCAGAATATCGGGCTATGGCACAACTGGCATGTGAGATATTCTGGATAAACCATTTATCGAGTGAAATCGGATTGAAGACACCCATGCGTGCTAAACTCTGGTGTGATAACCAAGCTGCTATACACATTGCCAACAACCCAGTGTTTCATGAGAGAACAAAACATATTGAGGTCGATTTTCACTTTGTTCGAGAAAATATACAACAAGGATTGATCTCTACAGGATATGTGAAAACTGGAGAGCAACTTGGAGATTTGTTCACTAAAGCACTAAATGGAATTCGTGTTGGTTATTTATGTAACAAGTTGGGCATGATAAATATCTATGCTCCAACTTGAGGAGGAGTGTGAAAGACATTAGAATATACTTTAGAATATACTTTATAATATGCTTTAGAATATTCTTCTATCTTTAGAATATGCTTTAGAATATTTTAGGAATATACTCTAGGATATTATTATTGTATAGAATCTTATAGGAATATTCTATCTTTGTAATGTATATATATATAGGGACTTAACCCTCCAATGAAATACACAGAAAATTCCTTTCTCCTCTCTCCATTATTACTATCATTATTATTATTCTAGTTTATATTTCAACACTAGGAATGGTAGATATCTATTCACCAGATATCATTCACCAGTTTGAGGGGGAGTGTAGAAACATTAAAATATTTAGTTGATTAATAAAAGATTTGTTCTAAATTCTAATCATAATTTGATTCCCTAGAATTAATTAGGAGATCTTGTACATAATTACTCTTTCCTTTGTAGCATGCTCCGTTACACCCCTATTGGAAAACCAAGCTTCACATCAAGCTTGAAAACGTGAACCTCACATCGAATGATTGCACCGATAAACATTAAAAATTCTCTTTGAATACATTGGTAAACTGGGACAGTTCTAGTGGACCAAAAAGGAACTGGAAAGTCCAAAAGTAGTTTGTTTTGGGAAGTTTATCAGACTAGCCAGTCTGCATTATATGTTTATAGGTTTTGTGGAAAATGTTGGCTCTTGGAGTTGCTGCATTGGAAGCCACACCGACGATAGTTGAGGCGGAACTTCTGTAGAGTGTAGATGAAGTGTTTAGAGAAGGGCATGCTTCATTGCCTGATGTGGAGTCCATTGATTTGGAAACGTCGGGAATCTGGTTAGAAAGTTTCTGAACCGATTCCTATAATGCAGTACCTGCTGCACCTTTTGCACCGTATTTTGAAGCTTGTGAAGGTGCCCTTCGTTTCTCAGTATCTCTGGAAGGAGCATGCACTGATTAGTGGTAAGTGTTGTAAAATTTCCAATAATTGTACCGATAAACATTAAAAATTCTCTTTGAATACATTAGTAAACTGGGACGGTTTTTGTGGATAAAAAGGAACTGGGAAGTCCAAAAGTAGTTTGTATTGGGAAGTTTTTCAGACTAGGCACTCTGCATTATATGTTAATAGGCTCTGTGGAAAATGTTTGCTCTTGGAGTTGCTTTGTCGGAAGCCACACCAACGGTAGTTGAGGCGGAACTTCAGTAGAGTGTAGATGAAGTGTTTATAGAAGGGGGTGCTTCATTGCCTGACGTGGAAAGGTCGGGAATCTGGTTAGAAAGTTTCTGAACCCACTCCTATAATGGCTACAGTACTTCGAAGGTGCCCTTCGCTTGTCAGTATCTCTGGAAGGAGCATGTACTCATCAGTTGTAAGTGTTGTGAAATTTCCCATGACACCAGCAATGGAACCGAAATGTTATATACCGGGATTCTTTGCGTCACGGGAATGAATTATAGTGATAAACAGGAAGGAGCGGTGGATTTCATGGAGTTCCCCCCGTCCTTTGGAATTTGGGGTAGTTTTTCTTCTCCTTGATTTCCTTTTAATTCTTTTTGCACAGCGAAGCTGCCTTTTGTATTGGGGATTACATGCATGTAAATTACTAAAACAAGGAAAGTGAAATCCTAGCAAATCACATCCCAAAATAGAATGACTAAGAATCTAAGATCATCATCATCATTACCCCAGTGCAGCAAAGGCTCCCACCTATGGTGGGGTAAGGGGGGTCGGATGTACGCAGTCTTACCCCTGTACTAAAGCACATAGAGACTGTTCCCGTATGACCCATAGTGAAAATCACGTCGAAAAATACATGGACTGACGGTTGCTTCACAATAAAGAAGTGCAGACAGTTTAGTGAGCCATTTTGCTTTATTCCATCATGTTCTCAAGCCAAAAAATAGTGAATCTTTGGCTCCATTGCAAATGATGGAAAATTAAGAATCTAAGATATTAAATCAAATTAGAATAAAATCAATGAGCTATCACTCCTCATTCTTCCATTTGATTGCTCATTTATCTTTGCAGTATTTTATTGTACCATGTATTAGTGCCTAAAAAGTATTAAGAGAAAGCCTTAGAAAGGTATGTTATTTTGCTCATAGTTGTCATTTATATCATTGGTGAGTAACTGAGTATAGGTTGAGATCTGCTGGGGCAGTGCTTGTTGCAAAGCTAGTTACGGGATCGTTAGCATATGATGACATCTGGTTCGGTGGAAGGACAAGAAACCCATGGAATATTCAGGAATTTTCCACTGGTTCATCAGCGGGACCCGCTGCTTGCACCTCTGCAGGTATCTTCGAGATTTATTCTTCTCAATGCACATAGTCTTGGCGCCTTGGCACATAGTGTTTCTGTGTGAAGAGAGGTCGCATGTTCAAGTCTTTGGAGTGAACTCTTGTCAAAATGACAAGGGAGGGTCTGCTACTTATACACCCTTGTGGTAGGGTCCTTCCCCGGATCCTCACTGCGCGGGTACGCCAATGCGCACTAGGAGCAATGAAATTAGGATTCCCAAAAACATTAGCGTAGGGATCGGCAACGGGCTGGGCCAAACCAGCCCATAATAGTGGGATTGGGCTAGTTTTTGTAGTCAAATCATAATCAGTCTGTCTATTAAGTTAGGATTTGAAAGGCTGGTCCAGCCTAGCCAGCCTAAATAGGCGGCTTATAGGAATTGTTATAACATAGAAAGCTATCGGCACAAAATATCAAATGTGAAAGATCTGCTAACCTAAAAATTTTATAAAAATAAATAGACTAGGCAAGTCTGATGGGACTGAAGTAAAGAAAAATTAGACGCCATCAAGGAATGCCTTTGGCAGGGAGTTTTAGGACACTATATTGATGTCAAAGGGCAGCTCTCCAACTGACTTTCATCATTCAGGTTTAGTGCCATTTGCAATTGGTTCAGAAACAGCAGGGTCCATTACTTATCCTGCTTCCCGTTGTGGTGTCACTGCCATTCGTCCTTCTTTTGGATCGGTCGGTCGAACTGGAGTTATGAGCATATCCGAAAGCCTGGTATTCTAACCGTTCTCCACTACCCTACTCAGCTATCCAATCCTTTTGTTTTGCCCTTGAACTGGAGACGGAAAAATCAAATATAAGCTACTATGTATTCAATAGGACAAATTAGGCCCTTTCTGTCGAGATGCTGCAGATTGTGCGATCATTTTAGATGCAACCCGGGGTAAGGACCCTAATGATCCATCGTCCAGGGATATTCCACTGTCTGATCCATTTTTGGTTGATGTCAAGATGCTCACTGTTGGGTATCTAAAGGATGCTGATATGGAGGTAAATAAATAAATTTGATTTGGTTATCTATAAAGCACTGTAGAAATATTGGTGCTTTCCTCCTGCTAGATTCGGGCACTCCTATTCTGCCCGAGTGCCTTATTACCATGTTTCTATTTTTTTTTTGACTCACAATCCCTAATCCATTATCTTATCACTTTGCATATGAATAATTGACGACATCCACTCCAAGAAAAGTGTCTTGCTTGACCAATGTAGAACTTTTTAATTTTGGTCGGTAAACCATGAATCAGACTCTTATTTTTTTGAAAATTGATGTGTAAGTGTGTAAATTTATCATATGTAACTTGTCGAGGACTCTTCGTCAATAATTTTGACAACTTTCATGGAAAACGAACTATGTGTGATCAAGATGGAGTCCTTTTTTTTGAAAAAATGAACTGTTAGAAACATGATTTTTATGGATGGATGGAGTATTAGTGAATATTAAACCCTTAATTTTGCCATATGCATCTGCTATCTGTTAACCGTCTTAGCACAATCCACTTTCTGCCTGGTATCTGCTGATAGCCGACTAGGGCTAGACTGGGTTTGATGTTATTAAAAAAACCAATAAAGGGGGTATTAACACAATGGAAACCCTTCAGGTAGGATAAGCATGCCTAACTCAGTGATTTGGGTACACGGAAACAAGGTTTCAGGCTCTCCAGTGTAGTAAATACACGGAAACATGGATTATTTGTCTCAAGTTTATTACTGCACTTGCAGGTTGTTGATGTACTTTTGACAAAAGGGGTCAAAATGATTCCATTCGAACTAAACTACACAGTTGAGTCAGCACAAGGCATACTTAATTTTACAATGGATGTTGATATGCTGTCTCATTTCGATGAATGGCAGCGATCAAACAAGGATGATGAGTATGAGGCTCATGACCAGTGGCCCCTTGAGCTTCAGCGAGCACGAGTTATATCTGCGGTGGATTATATCCAGGTATATCATTCCCATGTGTGAAATATATTAGAATGAATGTAGGAATATGCTTTGTAATATTTAGGACAATACTCTAGGATATTATTATGCTATAGAATCTTATTGGAATATTCTATCTTGTAATATATACCCCCTCAGTCCCAAATTGTAAGATACATTTACTATTCACATGGTTTCCATCATTTGCAATGGAGCCAAAGATTCATTATTTTTTGGCTTGAGATTATGATGGAATAAAGCAAAATAGCTCACTAAACTGTTTGCACTTCTTTGTCATGAAGCAGCAGTCGGTCCATGCAATTTTGGACGGGATTTTCACTATGGGTCATCCGGAAACAGTCTCTCTGTGCTTTAGTACAGGGGTAAGACTGCGTACATCCGACCCCCTCTTACCCCACCGTAGGTGGGAGCCTTTGCGGCACTGGGGTAAATGAAAATGAAATGATCAGAATTTTATGAAATTTGAATTATTTTTTGCAGGTTTTGTAGCGATTTTAATGTAGTTTCTGAATATGTAAATTTTATTTTCTAAAACTAATTTGAGTGTTGACAGGGATCAATTTGCTTTATCGTCAATCAAACATCGTAAACCGTAAAGTATCTTACAAATTTGGACGGAGGGGAGTATTTATAGCCTTATAGGGACTTCAACTCTTCAATAAAGACACAAAAAACCATTTCCTTCTCAGTACTATTTTTCTATCTTTAATTCTTCTAACATGGTATGAGAGCAACTCTGTTCCATTTCATATTATTAGAGTTTAGAGTAGGAATAGATTGAGACTGAAAAGTTTGATTCATTCCACAATATGATATCCTATTTATACAACCTTTTAGAGACTAATAAGGTAGGCTACTAATAATAATATTAAATACAAAGATTTGTAATTGATATTATTAAATACAAATATTTCTAATTTATTGTGTAGCTTTTGTAACGGTTCTCTGGAGCTGTCTAGACTCTTCTATATGCCCCCGCAAGCCATGTATTCTATCAGTGCTGAGAATCCTGAGCTTGTCACGTAAAAAAACAAACCGTTGTCGTGAAAGGGGTTTGGTGAGAATGTCAGCTACTTGATCATGTGAGGGATATGAAGGACTCGAAGAAGACTACGTTGCACACGTTGACGGACAAAATGGAAATCAATGGCAACATGCTTCATGCGGGAATGAAATAAAGGATTGGCAGAAGAGGTGGTAGCGCCTTTATTATCGCATAGAAGAACCGAAAGGGAAGTCGGTGAATGTCGGAGCTCATGAAGAAGTGATTCAATCCAGAGTGTTTCGGATGCAGCAGTGGAAAGAGCCCGATATTCTGCTTCGGTAGAGGATTTGGCAATAGTTCGTTGCTTGGATGATTTCCAGGAGATAGGTGACTCTCCGAGAAAAGTAGCATAGGCGTTGGTAGAGGAGCGGTCATCAGGATTCCCTGCCCAATTTGCATCAGCATAAGCACATAAGGAAAGGGAAGAACTCCGTTGAAAATATAAACCATGAGAGGCGGTTCCTTGAAGATAACGCAAGAGGCGTTTCATGAGTTGCCAATGATTCACCGTGGGTTTGTGCATAAATTGAGCTAGCTTGTTGATGGCAAAAGCAGTGTCCGGCCTGGTGAGGTTTAAATACTGAAGGGAGCCAATGACCTGCCGATAGAGAGTTGCATCACAAGAACCCGAACTGTCAAACAGAGTCAAGGAAGTTGAAGATGCTAGAGGTGTGGATACTGGATTAGCCTCATGCATATTCAGCACCTGTAATAAATCTGTAATGTACTTGTGTTGATCAAGAAAAAGACCATCTTGTGTAGGGGTGACCTGGATGCCCAAGAAATAGTGTAAGGATCCTAAATCCTTAATGGAGAATTTTGTGCCAATAAGTCAATAGTCCAATGAATTAAAGCTGGTGTAGAGCCAGTGACAATAATATCATCCACATATACTAACACATAGATATAAGAGGGATAAGAAGAAAATATGAAGAGACTGGCTTCAGAAACGGATTGATGAAAACCAAGGGATAAAAGAAATCCACTGAGAGATTGGTACCACACTCGAGGAGCTTGTTTAAGCCCGTAGATGGATTTCTTAAGGCGACATACTCTCCCAGAACCATCATTGAAACCAGGAGGTTGTTTCATGTAAACTTCCTCGTGGAGAGCGCCATGTAGAAATGCATTATTGACATCGAGCTGATTGACCTGCCAGCCATGAGAGAGAGCAATGGTTAGAACAACCCGAATAGTAACTGGTTTGATAACTGGGCTAAAGGTCTCAGAGTAATTAATCCTGGGGCATTGATGAAAGCCCTTAGCCACCAGTTGAGCTTTGAAACGGTCCAAGGATCCATCGGGCTTATATTTCACAGTATAGACCCATTTGCAACCCACAACGTTTTGATCAGGATGAGCAGGTACAAGCTCCCAAGTTCCTTGTTGAACCAAGGCGTCAAATTCCACAGACATAACCTCTCTCCATTCAGGTACCTGTAAAGCTTGAGAAGCATAAGTAGGAATAATATGATGGGGTAATGATGAGTGGGTAACAACATTAGCTTGCTTACGAGGACGAAGGGTCATTGGGTGAGTGCGTTTGGGAGGGGAGGGGTGTGGATCATGATGGTGATCCAAGGTCGATACGGAGCTATTGGGAGTGGGAATAACTGTTGAGGTGGTGGTGTTAGGTGTAATTGGCAAGGATGGGGTAGTTGGTTTTTGTTTGGGCCGGCGTTGGTAAGTGACAAGAAACGGTGGGTGAGAGGCGGTTGGATTGGTGGGAGGTGGAAATGAGGTGGAGTTAGACATATCTGGGGAGTCTTGTTGTGCCGAGGTATGAGTAACAGGAGACACCTTTGTTAGTGATGTACCTGAAATAGGGAGATGAAATAGGTGGCTGAAGCCAATTATCAATTTCAGAGGACAGATTTGCAACAGTTGTTGGACTGTTAGAAAAAGGAAAGATAGACTCATTGAACACCACATGTCGACTAATAAAGATCTTATTAGAAGTAGGATCAAGGCAGCGATAAGCACTTTGCTGGTCACAATAGCCAAGGAAAATACAAGGTCGGGACCGTGGTTCTAACTTATGGGCCATGTAAGGACGAAGCCAAGGAAAACACTGACACCCGAAAATAGCAAGTTTTGTGTAGTTGGACGGCTTTTGAAAAAGTTTTTCATGGGGAGTACAAAAACCTAGAGAAGCTGTCGGCTGTCTATTAATTAAATAAACAGCAGTTAAAAAGGCGTATGGCCAATATTTAAGTGGCATAGAAGCATGATGAAGTAAGGTAATCCCTGTTTCCACAATATGCCTATGTCGGCGTTCAGCAAAGCCGTTATGTTCAGGGGTATATGGAGGAGTAAGTGAGAAATGCCACAGGAGGCCAGGAATTTCACCTCCTCCATCAGAGCAAACCGTTTTAATGGATTTTTGGAAAAAGTTTTCTACAATTTTTTTAAATTGTTGAAAAATTGAGGTTACCTCCGATTTGTGTGTGAGAGTGTAAAACCAAATGTATTTTGTGTAATGGTAAAAAAAAATAGCATGGTAACGGAAACCATCTACAAAACTAATTCGAGAGGGACCCCAAATATCTGTATAAATTAAGTCAAGAGGACCAGAACTAGAAAGAGAAGATTTAGCAAAAGGTAACCGGTGACTTTTATTACTCGCACACGAAGTGCAAAGAGATAGAGCCTTACTAACATCTTTAAAATTAATACCTAATGAGAAAATATTTTTTTGAGTGATGGGAAGGGCAGGGTGTCCTAAACGACAATGCCATTTATTTAGAGAAAATGTTGTAGTAATGTTAACACTTGGAGAGGCAGGAACTGGAACATCAGGCAAGCTGTAGACGTCACCGTTATTCATACCCCGTAACAAAATTGCTCCCGTTTTCCGGTCCTTAACAAGACAAAAAGAAGGGTGAAATTCGATTAGTACATCATTATCACTACATAATTTAGCAACAGAATTGGGGAGTCTGTGTCGGTATAATCGGACGCCAAGGTGAGGTTATTTAAATTATTGGTGACATGATTAGTTGCCCCCGAGTCGAGTAACCATCCATTTTTCCTGGTCGTGACAGTATTGGCTTGGGAAGGGTAATTTTGTTGTTCAAACCTGTGCCAACAATTAATAGCCAGATGATTCGGTTTACCACAGATTTGACATATAATAACCGAACTTGACCTGGTATTAACCCCAAAATTGGTACGCCCGCCCATGTTATTATTGATGCCTCGGGGATTACTGTTTCCACGCTGACTGGAATTGTAAAAATTGTTGAGGCGTTGGCCTCTATTCTGAGTTCTGCCAAAATTTTGTGTCTGAGTGTTGGGCCTGTTGGGCAGATTCTGAACTTGGGTTAATGGGCCTGGCCTAAAATAGAGGCACGCTTTTCTGGACTCCTGCAAACCATCATAGCTGTGGAAACGCCGTCTTCCTTTTTCTCCTCGACAATAGTTGCGTTCGCAGTTACGACGGAGGTGGGATTCAAGGCTTCCTTCCTGTGCATCTTATCTTCAAATTCGACGAGTAGCGAGTGCAGGTCTTCAAACGTAACCTCATCTGGACGAATCGAATTCTCCATAGCTTCAAACTCAGGACAAAGACCTTCCAGGGCTTGAATGACAAAGTCTTCGTCGTCGACTGGTCGGCCGGCTATGGCGAGTTCATCCGCAAGAGTGCGAAGGTGATGAAGATATTCGCTGATAGGTTGCGAGCCTTGTTTCATATGGCGGAACTTATCTTTGAGACTTCGGATTTTGGAGGCTGACCGCGTCCCGTATAGACGCTCCAGGGTCTTCCATACGTAGGCAGAGGTTTTGGAAGATCCAACCAGTGGCTTGTAAGCTGAGCTGAGAGATGAGACCAGGGCATGCCGCAACAGACGATCCTGTCTGTTCCACCGGAGAAGGTTGCCTGCTTCACTTTTTGGAGGGGGATTGGTGTTTTCATCGATGTACCGATCCAAATGAGCACCGAACAGGAGGTCAATCACTTGGTCTCTCCATACAAGGTAATTGGATCCATCTAATTTTTCTGGGAACTGACTCGGGTTAAGCATGATAAGGCCATCTGGAGTTAGGGGGTTATTGGCCGAGAGTGGTGGGTTTGAGTTACCTTGAGAGTCTTCTCTGTTTTCTTCTCATGGCAGATGCTCCAGAAGGTATATGTAAGGAAACTGGCCGGTTAGAGCTCTGGAGGCTCTGATACCATATTAAAGTTTAGAGTAGGAATAGATTGAGACTGAAAAGCTTGATTCATTCCACAATATGATATCCTATTTATACAACCTTTTAGAGACTATTAAGGTAGGCTACTAATAATAATATTAAATACAAAGATTTGTAACTGATATTATTAAATACAAATATTTCTAATTTATTGTGTAGCTTTTGTAACGGTTCTCTAGAGCTGTCTAGACTCTTCTATACAGATTAGTCTCAGAAACTGAGGGAAACTGAGTTTCTGTCCTGAACATCAGCGGACACCTTAGTTCAAAACCGTAATCCAAAATCTATCTCACCTCCATCATACTCTAGTTCGCCTGCCTTCCGGCGACCGTACACCTGAAGTCCGCACACCCAAGTCATCGTGTGTGTGCTACACGCGCCGTCGAAGGCTTCCGCAGCCACCGCACGCGCCGACGCGTGATGCCGTATTTCTGGCCGGAGCTTCGATCGGAACCCATCACCTCACTCACCGTCGTGTCTCCTACCACATGTACTAGCTATTTCCAAGTATCATCTGTTTCAATCTTGTATAGAAGAGTCTAGACAAAGAAAAGTCTAGATAACCGTTACAAAATTAGTTAGGGGTTTCAGTTACAAAATATTTGTATTTAATATTATCATTAGTAACCTACCTTATTGATCCCTAGAATATTGTATAAATAGCAATTCATCTCATAGAATAAATCAAGTTCTTCAGTCTCAATTCTTTCTTATTCTAAAATCCTTTATGGTATCAGAGCCTCTAGAGGCCTAATCGGCCTATTCTTTTCACCGAACTACTCTACCACATCCTCCTCCTTTGCCCACCTCTGCCCCATGGCTCAACATCATGATAACTCAACATCATCTCTCTCGGCCAAAAATCCCCTAACCCCAGATGGCCTTATTATGCTCAGCCCTAACCAATTCCCAGAAAAACTAGATGGATCAAATTACCTTGTATGGGAGAGATCAAGTAATGGACCTGCTGTTCAGTTCTCATCTGGAACAGTATGTTGATGAAAAAATAGGTGCTCCTCGAGAGAGTGAAGCTGCCAACCTTCTGCGATGGAAGAGACAGGACCGTCTGGTGCGGCACGCTCTTGTATCTTCTCTCAGTTCCACTTGCAAACCGCTGGTTGGGTCTGCAAAGACCTCCGCCTCCGTCCTGAAGACACTGGAACGCCTATATGTGACCCGGTCAGCTTCCAAAATTCGAAGTCTGAAAGACCAGTTCCGCCATGCTAAACAGGGTTCGCAACCTGTAGCAGAATATCTTCATCACCTTCGTACCCTCGCAGATGAACTGGCCATGGCCGGCCGACCTGTTGACGATGAAGACTTTGCCATTCAAGCCCTGGAGGGTCTTCGTCCCGAGTTTGGGTCCATAGAGAACTCCATCCGCCCAGATGAAACGAACTTCGTAGAAATCCACTCCCTACTGGTCAGATTCGAAGACAAGCTACGAAGGAGGGAGCTTTTGAATTCTGCCGCTGTTGTTACTGTAAACGCAGCAAGCGTCGAAAGAAAAGAGGAGGAAAATTCCGTCGCAATGGCGGTTCGCAAGGTTCCGGACCAAAATGCGTCTATATTAGGCCCAGGTCCATCAGCCTAGTTCCAGAACCTACCCAACAGGCCCAATACTCGGAACAAAAAATCTTTCAAAAATCAGAATTGAGGCCCACGTCCCAGCAACTTCTACAATTCAAATCAACGTGGGAATAATAATCCCGGGGGCAGGCGTACCAATTTTGGAGGAAATACCAGTTCGGGTGTTGTTATATGTCAAATTTATGGCAAACCGAATCATCTTGCTATTAATTGTTGGCACAGATTTGAACAACAAAATTATCCCCCCCAGGCCAATACTGCCACGACCAGGAGAAGCGGATGGTTACTAGACTCGGGAGCAAGTAATCATGTCACTAATAATTTAAACAATCTTACCCTGGCGTGGCGTCCGATTATACCGGCACAGACTCCCTCATTATTGGTAACGGTAAAAGTCTTGAAATTGCACAAGTTGGGAATATGACCCTCCATTCTCTCTCCTTACCTAATACTCTTTTTGTTCCTTCTATTCATACTAATTTAATTTCAGTTGCCAAATTATGTCGTGACAATGATGTGCTAATCGAGTTTCACCCTTCTTTTTGTCTTGTCAAGGACTGGAAGAAGATGTTGGCGAGGAAACCTGCGAACTAGTAGAAGCTCTTTATCGCGTGAATGTAGATCGAAGATTCCCCGGGTCGAATGCTCTGATACCATTGATAGGAACCAGAATCGAAAGAGGGAAATGGATGTCTATTAAGAACGTAAATGAGAAACCGAAAAGAAACAATACAATTGAAATACTTCGAGTAGTCTTAGCACTCCCAAGTCCAGATTAATTTCTGCCTACCTCCGTTATTCCCTCCTTCACACTCTTATAGTAATTATATTCTAATAGGCCGGCCCATATTTTCTGACATGACCCAGAATCCTTATTTATACAATACTACACTTATTTAAGATCATTCTATTACTACTACTACTACTACTACTATTATTATTATAATAATTCTCTTTACCCTAGGATCCTATCATTTACACCAAGGGTCAGAGTTTGGATGAAAGGTTTTGGTGTATATCGTGTTATGGAGGGCCAAGTGTGTATCTTAATACATACTTGAGCTTTTATAAAAGTTGATGGATTAACATAATAGGTGGTTTTATTTCATTAACATAATATTTGAGATTTAAGAAGCATTCCATTCGTCATGACTATAGACCAACTTCTCCAAATCCTTCCCTTCCAAAAGCCTCCATCGAAACTGGGCCTAAGGTACATAGACATTACTGTTTCTTGCTAACACTATACTATCACTGCTGACTGTTCTATGTTTGTATCAGGCACAAAGAAGTAGATGGAAGTTGATTCAAGAAGTGAGAGAGAGTTTCAAAGTGGATGCTTTAATTGGAAATGCAACTGATTGGGAAAAAGTGTGTGTGGGAAATCTCGTTGGCATGCCTGTGGTTGTTGTCCCAACTGGGTTTAAGAAGATATCTAATTCACCTTCGAATGATACTCCGCGAAGAACGACAATCACCACTGGCATTTATGCTCCACCTGACCATGACCATATTGTGAGTATTACTTTTAGGCTTGCTTAGACACTTTTATATAATACAGGAGTATAGATTCTATGGTTTCTAAATGTTGCTAGTAGTGGCGTTATGACATGTTTTATTGGGGGATTTCAGAGGGTAATGGAGGAATAATTGTTTTTAAATTTATCTCTATTTGTTAGTCTTGAATTAGAATATAACTATTCCTTGCATCCAAAAAAGACGTGTTTGGCTTAGGTACAATTTTTGTTTTAATTTTGAGTACGTGATTCTTAAAAGTCATGAAAATTAATAAGACTAATTTTTTTAGGTTTTACTGTATTTTTTAGAGGAAATTTCTCAAACTAAGATTCATTCCTCCAAAAATATGATCATATGTTAGGTTTTTGATAGGAACGAGGCAGATTAGTATAATAATAATATTATTGTATTAAATAATTCGTATAGTTAGCTTTGGGCCGGGTACTAGTTAGCACTGGGCCAGCCCATAAGGAAAATATTATGAATGAGAGTTAGGAGTAGAATGAAAGGTCAGGTGGAAATTGGGACTTGGAATGGGACTTGGGACAGAAGAGGCACTCTCGAACTTGCCTCAATTGTATTTCCGTTTCTGTTCCCGTTCATTTTCTACAATTTTAGTTTAATATTCAACAATTCATCGCCAAAATTCAGTGTCTCTATCATTTGGTATCAGAGCACTCACTTCCTGGAGGCAGAGAATCTGAATCAATCGTCCCAGAAGATCAACTACCTGGAGTGATGGAGGGTTTCTATACACCGCGAATGGAGAAAAGACTGGATGATATTGAACGCAACCTGAAGGAGATGAGAACTTGGTCATAGGCGACCAAGAAGTCGATCGAGGACAGTTAGGAGCCGTCGACAGTCAGAAAGCAAGGTTTCAGCATCGTTGTTGATCGCTTTTCTCAGTTCGCAATTGCCAGCATCTTCTTCCTGTTCGCCACACTCTTTGCCGTCAGTAGCCGCTTCTCACCTGTCGTCAATGACCAGTTCACAGTTGTCGTCGCTGGCCGCCTCTCACAGTTCGTCTACGCTAGCCGCCTCTCACAGTTCGTCTACGCTAGCCGTATCTCACCATGCCTAACCTTCATCAGTATTTAGAACCCTAGACCAAGCTGAATCCAAAAATGGATCACCGGGTACTTCATTGCCGACAATGAACATTGAGTTGAGGTTGTGTTAGGGTTCTGTGACTGAGAACCTTCTACCCTAAGTCAATCCTGTACACGTTCTCAGTCACAGAACCCTAACAGGTTGTCAGAACTGAAATCGCAGGAGGAAGTCACAAGCGCAAATAAGTCAAAAGCGACAGGTGATAAGATTTATTATCTGACTCTAGTGAAAGCTGTGCCAAAATCTGTTGATTCATCTGAACCAGATAAAAAACTAGCTCAGGTCATTTATCCTATCAAACTTCCTGGACCTGCTTTATTGGGTGAAGGCATGGCACAGACAGTTTATTTTTGTAGGGGAGATCATGAAACAATGAGAAAGTGGTTTGAAGGAGTAGCGTGTGCTGAAACAGACTACTTATGCTGAAAGTAGTCTGGACCAAACTCTGGTGGGTGAAGGCCTTGTGTTATTCTGGGGTGTCCTAGCTAAGCAATCGGTGAATAATGATCAACAGATTAGTGCAATTGAAGGATCAGTTTCAACTCACTCAGAGGTTAAGTCTGGGCTGACAGTAAAGGGCTGCAGTTTGGTACTTTTTGCAAATTGGGACTCCTAATTCTGGACTGAAATGGGCTGATGAGTTTGATTGCAGTGATGTCTCAAAGAGAGAGCAACTCATGGATTTATCTTTAAAACCAGAAATTGTTAATGGACCAGAAGCTGAAGGAAAATTTGAACATTATAAAATGGTCTTATGCTCCAATGATCCAGAAGTGAATTGTTCCAGTTGTGTTCTTTTAATGGAATCCAATCTAGGTGATGATGTTGGAAATATAGAAGTGGAACCCTACTTGCTTGAGAGAATCGTTAATGCTTCTTTCTCCTCACTTGGGCTAATAAAGTCAGGGAAGCAAAGAAGTTTCAAGAATTCTTCTCTAATGGTCTGTTTGGAAAACTGTTTACGTGTGCATCAGGTGAAAGGAAGTTCATATTTATCATGGAGGAATATCTTGTTAGCAAACTAGGACTGAGAACAGGTCCAGGGACAGCTTGGGGTGGCGGGGTGCCCAGATAAGGTCGAAACCTGCCTGCTAGGCTTGGGAAGTCTGTGACTTCTAAAGACTAATTTTTCTATTGATCGATGATGTGTATTATTCCTGAAAAGAATTATAAATAGGCATTCTGCCTTTACATGATTAAGTCTTATTCTAACTAAAACTCTTGGTTATTCTCCAACTCAGAAAGGATATAAGTGCTATAATCCTACAACCAGAAAGACATACACCAGTGCAGATGTGACCTTTCACGAAGACACACCTTTTTACACTCCTACTTCTCTCCCTGTATCCCAAGATACTCCACATCCTTCACCTCTGCCCACCTATACTATTACATCTTCTCCACCACATACAATCTCCTACCCTCCTAAGCCTTTATCACCAGACATCCCATCACCACCACCACCACCACCACATGATCATCCATCACCTTCCTTAGATGTGTCAGCAACCTCACCTACTTCCCAACAGTCTTCAACATCACCTGAACCTCAATCAAATACACCACCAGACTATCCCATTCCTACACCTACTAAATCCACCACTCATGACCCATCTTCTCCTCTACCGGTGACAAAAGTGTACTCAAGGAAAAACAGGTTCACTCCATTGTTGACGCATGACCAATTGGCTGACCCAGGTAATGTCTCTTCTTCTCCACCACCATCTCCGCCAATTGCTTTACGCAAGGGTGTACGTCAATGTACCAAAACACCTCTATACCCTCTTGCTAATTTTGTTACCATTGATAACTTCTCTCCTTCACATGCCTTGTTTGTTCAGAGACTTAATGAAATTCCCATACCCAACTCTGTTTCTGAGGCATTAGGAAAGAAAGAATGGAGAGATGCTATGCAAGAGGAAATTAGAGCTCTTGAAAAGAACCATACTTGGGATATTGTGACTAAACCTCCTTGAAGGCATGTTGTTGGTTGCAGGTGGATCTTTACTGTCAAATACAAGGCTGATGGATCTCTTGAGCGGTACAAAGCTCGTCTTGTGGCTAAAGGATACACTCAGACGTATGGGATTGACTATCAAGAGACCTTTGCTCCTGTAGCTAAGCTCAATACTGTCCGTATCCTACTATCCTTGGCATCTCACTTTGATTGGCCTTTATTGGAATTTGATGTCAAGAATGCTTTTCTCCACGGTGACTTGCATGATGAGATCTACATGTACATTCCCCCGGGCTTTAATAAAACATCAACAAGAACCTCTACACATGTATGTCATTTAAAAAAAGCCCTCTATGGTCTCAAGCAATCCCCTCGTGTTTGGTTTGACCGCTTCACACAGGTTGTTCTTGCTGCTGGGTATAGTCAAAGCCAAGGGGATCATTCTCTTTTTACAAACACTCTCGCCCAAATGGAGTCACTATTCTTTTAATATATGTGGATGACATCATTGTGACGGGTAATGATCCAGTTGAGAAACAACATCTTGAGGAGCAGCTGAAATCCAAATTCGAGATGAAGTCTCTTGGCCCTCTAAAATACTTTCTTGGAATTGAAGTTGCTCGCTCATCTGAAGGCATCTTTATCAGCCAACAAAAGTACATTACAGATTTGTTAAATGAGACTGGTAAGAGTGCTTGTCGACCGGTTAATGCACCTATGGATCCTAATCATAAGCTTGGACTTGCTACTGATGAACCCAAGGTTGATTCATCAATGTATCAGCGCTTGTGTGGCAAACTTATCTATCTCTCTCATACTAGACCTGACATTGCCTATGCAGTTAGTGTTTTGAGTCAGTTCATGCATGATCCAAGGAAACCACATCTAGAAGTAGCCTATAGGGTTCTTCACTACCTAAAAGGAAGTCCAGGGCAAGGGATAATATTCAGGAAAGGTGGGCAATTATCAGTCCAAGCCTTCACTGATGCAGATTATGGTGGCTCCCTCGTTGACTGCTGGTCAACTACTGGTCTCTGTGTTTTCCTAGCAGGAAACCTCGTGACATGGAGAAGCAAAAAACAGAATGTTGTGGCACGATCATCTGCTGAATCTGAGCTAAGAGCTCTTGCCCATGGCTTATGTGAACTTCTATGGATCAGAATTATTCTCTTAGATTTACGAATCAAGTGGAAAGGACCAATGGAATTGAGGTGTGATAACAAATCAGCAATCAACATAGCTCATAATCCAGTCCAACATGACCGGACCAAGCATATTGAGATTGATAGGCACTTTATCAAAGAAAAGGTTGAAGGAGGTCTGATCGAACTAAGCTACACTCCCTCAGAAGATCAAGTTGCAGATGTGTTTACCAAACCTCTGCACAGTCCTAGGTTCCAGGGTCTTATTGTCAAGCTAGGCATGACGGATATCTACAAACCTAGCTTGAGGGGGAGTGTTGATAAAACGAAGAGACATCATTAATCTTGGATTTATTTTCCTTATTATTACTGTAATTATGTGTCTTTAGTGCTTCAGGCTTCAGGTTGTATTTAATAGCTGCTGTCTTTTCAGTTCTCAATCATTTATGTTTAGTATTTAGACAGTCACCTAGGGTGCTGAATAGACTCTCTCAGGATTCCTATCTGTATAAATAGCTTATGTACTTCTTGTAAATGAATTCAAGGAAATAATATTCAGAAAACTTCAGATTCCTTTTTAATCCTTATTACTGGTTTCACCTCATCATTCCACCATGATGTGTCCTTTTTTGGTGGTAGACATCCTTTAGATTCTCTGAGTATCTCCTTCATCACTTTGTTAATGATCCATTGATAACCACACATCATCCACATGTGCATCATTATCAATACACCATACATCTTCCTCTTACATTTTGTGTACAGCTGCCACCGCCACGAGAGTC